CAAAACAATGGTGCATCGTACTTGCGTGTATACTTACTTACAAACATAGAAAAAACATATTCTGAGAAGAAATGAAGTACAATGGCATTGGCACTACTCTTAAGAAAAAATAAAGTGAAAAAAGGAAATAGTAATAAAATTTACACATTAATTGCACTTTTCTAGTATATGTTGGAATAAACAAATAATAGTGAAATTTACATTAAAAGGAAGTTTTTAAGCAAGGAATGAATTAGTGGCATTGGTATTAACCTTAAAAAAGGAATGAAATAAAAACTAAAACATAATAAAAAATAAAGTTTTTCTAGTAGAAAATGAATTAGTGACATTGATATTACTCTTAAGAAGAAAGGAAATTAAAAGAACTTGCACACAACTTTGAGTGAAATTGCACTTTTTGTAATATGCAAAGAATACAGGTAAATAATGCAACTTCCATAATATAGTATAATTTGCACACATATTATGTAGTACTTGCGTGCATACATATACAAAAAATATTAATGGATTTTAAAAAAATAATGAATTAGCAAAAATTTAGCACAAAAAATAGCATTGGTATTGCCCTTAAAAAAGAAAGAAAATAATAAAATTTCCAAACAATTAGCACAAAAATGCACTTCTCATAATATATAGAATAAACATATAAGAGTGATGTTTCCGTACTCTAATGTAATTTGTACATGTAGTACTTGCATGTATACATTTACACACACTTAACATATGAAAATAAACGCAAAGAAATAAAAAAAACTCAACGGAAAAATAAAAAATAGAAACCAAAAGCAAACAAGAAAATAAAAGCAAACACAAGGAGGAAAAAGCATACACACACTAAAATTAGGATGCATTTCATCCATGCATGTGCGTGCCAGAGCCACGAAGTGGACATGCATGCATGCATGAAGTCGTATCGTGCACTCAGCAAGGATAGGCAAAAAAATCAATTGAACAAGTAACGGAGTCAGTCGAATCTCCTACACATGTATCACAAAGCATTTTGAATCAACGGCCGCAAATTTGACTGACCAAATTTAATAATTCAGTCGCCTGACATATAGCTAACGTGGCTAATTAATTAGGTCCAACACCCCATTCGCTGTAGAAGTCCCGTTGCAACAATTAATAAGCACATCTCGAATGGACATCAATACCTTTAGGCTGGTCATAGTGAGAAGTAACTTAGACTAGTGTCATGCATAGGACATAATAGTAGTATTTTAGATGGCTTCATTTATTAGCTTGTAGACTCATCTTGTCTTGAAAAACGCTATGTTACAGTAACATATTATGTTACCACCTCTCATTAATTACTTGCCATATAAGCATAAATTTCTTGAAGTGCGCTGTGTTACTAGCTAAGTTACTCCCACTATGACTAGCCTTACGGACACGTCAGGGCAAATAGGGAGACGGCCATCAAACACTATGCGCCAAGTGTTGCCGACTTCATTCCACATGTATATTTAGATTAATAGCGATTTTTAGCATACGTAAATAAGTGCAAACATATGTAATCACAACCAAAAAAGCGCCAGATGTTTATATGATTTTTTTACATGCGGTCAATCTTAAAAATTGCCAATTTGGCTGTCTGTGCAAAAATCCTTATTGTTTTTGCCTTTCATACGAGTTGTCTATGCCAAGTTCTTCACTATGCGGCCGACTCCTTCAAATTGGGCGCCAAACGCTTCAACATCCTGGCGCACAGTAGGCTTGCACGATCTTTCTTGCATCGGGTTCCCAAGTACAGACATCTTCGTGGTCAACATCTTGGTGCCCTCCAAAGTGGTTGTGAGCTCAACATTTTTCTCTTGAAGCTTGACCATCTTCTCTTGCGCTATGATGAACTTTTCAAACCTCTCGGCCTTCTTTTCCTCCTTCACATCATTGCACTCGATGCATGTCTCCTTCTTCTTCACCATGATAATCACGAACCTCTTTCTCATCTTGGTTGCCGCCCTTTCTCGCTTCTCCTTCTCCTTCTCTCACTTCCTCCTCGGTTCCTAGCCATCCCTTTTTGTTGGAGCAAGCCTTTTTTTGATCACCATTTTCGCCTACATCGGTCATGATGACAGTCTTGACGAAACTGAAAACGACATTGAACCACTTGGGGTTGCGCATTGAACTTCAGCCAACAATGCATGAAGAGGATGCACTACAAGGTCGGGGGCACTAATGAAAGCCAGATGCACATTGTTGCAAGACTAGTCAAGGTTGTCACATGTCTGACGTGCGATGCTGCAAGGACGACCTCCCACTTCTACAAGTTCTATGTGTGATAATGCAAGGTCACGCGTCTATGTTAAAAGAGGGACACACATCACTGCAAGACTAGGCGGGGATCTGCATGTCGGACATGGCGTGCAACATTGCAAGGCTGGTCCCCCGTAGCTACAAATTAGACGCGTGATGTTGCAGTGTCAGGAGGGAGGGGGTGCTCAAAGCGGGGCACATGCCACCATAAATTTGTGCCGACCCTAATGCATGCCATATGTGCGGCACCGCAAGGCTAATAACCAGATGTTGCAAGCCAGTCGACCATTGTTGCAAGCAAAAAGCATGTTGCTGCCAAAGTCAACTAGAACTGTTCTTTCACTAATGCAAGCTAGAGCAACGTGCTACAAAAGCTTGCCATCATTGTTGTAAGGAGCATAATTTCTCGCACAAATCATGTAGGGAGGCATCCGAGTAGGTATGGAATCTTTATGGCAACATGTTGATATGTTGCGCAAAGGCAAACAGAGAAAGCTGCTGGGATCCGATGGTGAAGATTGTTGTCATTCAACGGTTAGTTAGTGAGCCGGCCAATATGTGCCTATGATTTACAGGCTAACACCTAACAGACGCCTAAACATTTTGTGAATTGATGAAACGTCTTTTAGGGTACTGTGAATATTTTTATTTGATATCCGTGAAACTATCTCACAAAACACTTGAACAAATGGAAAACATGAAAAATCAAAGAGTGTGGCTAAGTCAGTTGACTAAGACTCAACCAAGTCTCAATCAAGTGGCATAATATATACTGCCTCTACCGCAAATTGCTTGTCACTCAAATGGGTCTATCTTTCACTAAAATAGTGCTAGATACATCCATTTGAGCGACAACTAATTTGGGATGGAGTAAGTATGAAATAAAAAGAAGAAAATAAAATAAAATTTTGAATGAATCTCCACGCGAGACTTCACGAATATAGCACCGATTGAGACATAAGCAAGTCTCAGTCGACTGATATTTAGCAACACCGAAAGCCAAAAAAAAGGACAATAAGTTAAAATTTTGATTTTTTAACTTGTTATTAAAAAACAACAAGACGTATAAAAAGGAAAAAGACGAAAAAAGAATCTTCTGGAGACCAAAACTGGACCAGGCCAAGTACAAGCAATTTCCGATTTTTCTGCCAAAAAACCCAGTGACGTTCACCACGCGATTGACCCCAATCTTTTTTGTAAGATTAACTATTTTTTGTAAGAGATTGACCCCAATCTGATGTTTCCTGTTCGGCGCTTAACGTTCCCGTTACAGCGAGCGCCCACACCGGAGGTTTTTTCGTTGCTTGATGGGTCGGCCCACCTCAGCTCCGCTTTTGCATCTGTTTTAGCAAGCTTCCAAACTTTTTTTTCCCGCTCTCTTTCTCAAAATCATTAATTAAGGAGTATTTGTTGCAAAAAGCACTCCATTTTCCCAAGTGGCGACAAGTGGTGCATATGCAGCGCGCCACTTGTCGCAACCTGAAAGTTTTTCCTTTTTTCGTAGATCCGTTTATTCAAAACGTTTTATCTCTTAAATTGTGCGTTCAAATCTCGAACCGTCTTCATCGTTGGATTCCTCGCGTCGAGATCTTCAAAACTAGATCCCATGTTAATAAGTTTTGACGAACTTATTTTTTCACGAAAAAACCAGACGAAAAAACCGGGCGAAAAAACCGGACCGGGAGCATGGTTTTTTTCCATTCCGAAAGAGGCACGTCAATGCCTCTCACGAAATCACAACCGTTCCTCTCATGGAAGCAAAACCGTGACTCTCATGGAAGGAAAAAAAAACAAAAAACACGTTTTTTTCGTTTCCAAGAGGCACGGCCGTGACTCTCGTGAAAGCACAACCGTGACTCTCACGAAAGCAAAACCGTGACTCTCGCGAAAGAAAAAAAAACAGAAAACGTGTATTTTTTCCCTTTTCGAGAGGCACGACCGTGACTTTCGCGAAAGCACAACCGTGCCTCACGCGGAAGCAAAACCGTGACTCTCCCGAAAGAAAAAAAATAGAAAACCTGTTTTGTTTTTCTCTTTCCGAGAGGCACGGCCGTGACTCTCGCGAAAGCACAACCGTGCCTCTCGCGGAAGCAAAGCCGTGACTCTCGTGAAAGAAAAAAAAACAGAAAAAGCGTTTTTTTTCATTTCCGAAAGGCACGGCCGTGACTCTTGCTAAAGCACAACCGTGCCTCTCACGAAAGAAAAAAACGTGAATTTCGCGAAAAAAAAAGAAAACGTGTTTTTTCGCGCAAAATAAAATTTGAATTTTTTTAATCAAAAAGCTAAGAAAGACCGGAGAAAAACCAAAATGTCGAAAAAAACCAAAAAAAAACCGTTTAAAAAGCTGAAAACACGTGCGGAAAAATAAAAAAACAATATCCGAAGGAAGCGTCCAAAGCGTGACACGTGATAAATGGCTGAGAACACGCCAAGTAACGCTGATCGTTGCGAGGCTCCCGAAGAAGCGCTCGTTAACTAGTTGCTCCCTCTTTTTCTTGGTTTCTTTACGTTAAGTTCGGCTTTCTCTGATTCGTTTCTTTACGTTAAGTTCGGCTTTCTCTGATTTTTGTTTTCACTGGGTTCACAGGCCTAAGGGCCGGCCCAAGAAGCGTGCGCGCGTGCGTTAAGCGCTGACGAGGAGGTCTCCCCCAATCCCCCGTTCCCCTCCGCCCTACACGCTCTCGCTCCCGTTGCCGCCGCCAGCTCCTCCCCCTTTCGCCGGAGCTCCTTCTCCGGCAGTAGAGATGGTGAAAGGCGCAGTCCGGTATGACCACTTCTCCCCTTCGCTTGATTCGTTGCTAGTCCCGGGTCCCGTCAAGTTTTCAGTTTCAGAGCCAGAGAAACAAATAACCAACCCCACTTCCGTCACTCCTTTGAGTGATCCGGGGGCTCCAAACCCTAGCGCCGGTGCACCCCCTCTCTCCTCCTCTGCCGTAGGCTCCGTGCGCGGTGGCGGAGGGCTTCTCCCCTAAAGGGTGGAGGGAATTTTTTTTTCTTCGTCTCTCGGCGGGTGGGGTACCGGGGCTACCGGGGCGGCGGCTGCTAGCCGAGCTCGCGTGGTCTAATTTCCGAGGTCACGCTCCTGAGGACGCTGGGCGGCACCGTCCCGTGCCCCGGTTTTCTACACGCCAGTTGCTGGACGTGAACCATAAACAATAACGAGAATTTGGCAATTCACAAGTCAGACATCCTTGATAAATACGTTCGTAACTGTGAATCAGTCTAGTATCGGCTTGGCCTCACTTGTAGTGCTTGTTATATTCTCAATTCAATTGTCTGTTCTTCTGCATCTGAAACCTTGCTGCAACCTTGTAGCTATGAGTCTGGACCGGCATTTCAGGAGAGTGGAGAGCAGGGCAAGCTTGAAATACCAGCATCTGGCTCGACAGAATTTTGGCTAATACAGTGGCCTCTAAACCATGTAACTCGGAAGTTTTTTTTTCCACCCCCATGGCATGTTACTAGTATGCTGCATTTGGGCTCCAGGGTAACATTTTTCTGTATTATTACACAGGTAAATGCTTCTGAGTTTAGTGGTAAAGAAGTTACTGTTGAGCTTCAGGATGATGGAAACTTGGGAAATTTGGAGAGTTCTTCCGGTAAATAAACACAATGATGTATTATTTCGAAATTATTTTCACGTGATTAATTACATGTTTCAGTGATCTTAAAGCTTCCCAGCATTCAGACAACAACGGAGTTTGGTTTTTCTAAATACTGTTACTCTTGAGTGTTCAGCGGGCCTATTTTATCTGGACAGTGATCTTTATTCCTAAAGGTGTTATAAATGAAACCACTTGCTTGTCCATGGTGAAACTTGTCTTTCATTTTGTTAGGTGTAAATAAGATTCAGACAATGCTTGTTCTTTGATGGTCACTATTGTTATGCAGGCCACCAAGTATTGGCTTGAGTTATTAGTTCAGTCTGAACTAACTCTTATTCAAATTTTTTGAAAGCTTGTTTATCTGTGCAAAACAAACTATTAGTTCCTATTGGCTCCTTGAAACAGAAATAGAAATTAACAAGATGTTATACTTCAGTCTAAAAAAAGATGTTATTCTTTGTGGATATTCTGACTCCAGAAGTTTGGTATTTCCAGTGAAATTTCCTTGTGAACTTTTTCATGTAATGGCCAGTTATATCCTCCTCCTTAATATAAGCTAGTTGTTGATTGACATGCAATATGTTGACATCTGCAATATGTTGTAGTACTAGATGACTTGTCTAGTCCCTTCTCCATTCTCATTGACTGAAAATACCATTATTTTATCAAAATTGCTATGAATACTTTCCGCAAACATTCCGGTTTATCTCATGTACGTTATTTGGCAGGGAAATCATATGAACTCGTTAGCTTTGCTGCTCAACAGCCAGATGCTACTGTCTTCATTCCATCAGGATCTGAAATGAAAGCCGGTACTTGAAACGTCAACTTAGTACTTTAATTGTTCGGTATTAGGAATGCTCTGCTATTATTTTTCCATTATTGAAGTAATGTGAAGTTTGCTGAAGCATTCTACTGTCTTTGTTTATAGTATTTTGAAGTCATAATGATGACACAGTCTATGGGTTGGTAAACCCTAATTTACTTTGCATTACTTAGGCACCTATTAATATTTTGCTTGTTTGCCAAAACTTCAATTCACTGGATACTAGTAAACCATATATTGTAGCACTATGTTTGATTTCAGAATACTTGGATCCTAGTCTTCAATGGGAATAACAAATAAAAGAAGAAACTGTATATGACACTTCATTAGTGAAAGTTTACCTCCAGATATCTAACTATTATGAGTTACAGTGTGTGCTTATTGATCTGTATTGAAGCAATGAAGGAAACCAATGTCAGCATCGTAAGAGGGGTATGCCGTGAAAGTAAATCTTAGAGTTTAACTGGCATACAAGGAGTTGGATCATCTGTGTGTTAGCTGATAAAAGAAAAGTATCTTCTCAAAATAAAGCTTCCAATATTGTGAGCTTCAGGAGAACCATTGCTGTTTGAATGATTCATAATTGTATTATGAGAACAAGTTGGTCTAATAGCTATCCTCCAACTATGTAATAAGTAACATGAGTCTAGAAATATATTCTCCATTTAACTGTTGAGACCTGCAGCAGTTGTATGCTGTATTTATTTTCACACAAACATGCAAATAACGTGGGAAAGAAAATCAATTATGTTATGCTTATTTCACACTGTTTAAACAAAAACAAAAAGTAATATATCAGTTCTCAGTGGTTGTGTTCTTTCCAATTTGTTACGAGCCCAAGCAGTCTATTTTACCTTTATTTCTGTCATGTGCTCTGTGCATGTAAATTGGCCTTTTCACTAACATAAATGAATAAATCCAGTGGGGAAGATTTCACGCAGAGTTTGCTTGGTTCGTTACCCTGAACCTGAAGAATTGGAGAAAGAGAAACCAAGTTTTGGGAGTCTTACACCTGGCAGTAGGAGACCTGCAGGTATATATTTTTTAATATGGTTTTTCTTCAGTAATGTCATTTTTCAGCTGCCAATACCTTAGACAAGCCAGGCAGAGATCTAGCTAGATTTACCAAAATTTGCTGAATGAAGTAGTAAAGGAGGGTTTACCCATGAACACAAGTTTAATTTAGTTCTGTTTAACCCAGCCGGAGCTCCATATGCAGAACATCACTACAAAAGTGGTCATAAAATGCACTGACTGTTATTGTTGCTGTTATATGCAAGATATGATGTTGGGCTCATTCGGCTTGGAGGAAATCTAAACGTAGGAATTTGGAGTAGTATAGGAATTTGATAGGATGTCACTTGCCACCCTAAGGAATTGACTTGCCTCGTTCCTACGCGCAAAATGAGCTTTGAGTGGACGTGTAGTTTCCTCCAAAAGCGTAGGAAATGAATAGTATTCCTACAAAATTCCTTTACGCATTTCCTACAAACCGAATGCATATATAGGAAATTTTCCTCTGGAATCCTTGTTCCCATTTTTTTCCTATAAAAATCCTCCAAACCGAATGAGGCCCGTCAGGCAATATTTATCATCTCTGATGAAATGCTGCCTACCAGTATGTTAGCATGTCCTTTCACCTTATAGGATCAGTTGACTGTCACTGATGAGTGCACATGATTTTCCAGGTTCTTCTCGGAAGACTATGTCTCGGTTCAGTGGCTTATCGAAGAACCGTAGCAGCCAAGGATCAGCATTGTCCCTGGGTCAAGAGAACCGTAGCAGCCAAGGATCAGCATTGTCCCAGGGTCAACAGAGCGTGGAGCCGACGCCCAAACACAAGCAGAAGAGAAGGGACGAAAGCAGCTTGGGGGGCCACTCAAACGTGTCCGCCAAGTCCTCGGAAGGATCCCAGGCTCGTGGCGCAGGAAGCAACACAACGTCGGAGATGCCGCCGACGTCGGTGGAGAAATCCAAGAAGAAGAAGAAGGTTAGGATTCAAGAGTAGTAACAACGGTGGCAGCAGCCACCCACCCACCTTGGAGAAGAAGATGCTATTTTTTCCCCTGACAGATGAGCAGTTGCATCTCCTCTTTGTATGCGTCCACACTGTTATTGCTTGTTGCTGGCCTTGGTGTTGCAGCCAGTTGGTCTCTGCGGCTGGTGAATGGAAGTTGTGGAGGCAAATTTCGTGACATGTTCAGCAAATTCAGCATATGTGCCGCATCGGGTGCAATCACATGGATCTCCATTTCTCCAGTCTCTCAACGTTAATCCTCACCCAGCAATATACACCAGCAAACTGTGTCGTCTGAACCGTTAGCCCGTGATTCAGCAAACAGTGCCGTCTGAACCTAGCGTATGTACTGCCTCGTGCAGGTTTTTTTAACATCAGTGCAGACATAAAGCGCTCATATACATGCGCATGCACTCATTCCTATGAACGCACACATGCACACGCTACCCCTATGAGCATCTCTGAAAGACTGAGCCGGCATATCATCTTGAAATTTATAAAGTCATTGTAGGCGTCTCGTCGTCGGGGAGAAGACGATGAGAACGTCTTCTCCCATGAAATGCGCATCACCAAAAGTCTTGAAATAAATCCAAAAATAAATGCGAGCATCAACATTTAAACGCTGTTGGGATGAAATACCACAATCCCTTTAACCATCCAACCACAGATTGGCTTTTATACCTTGTGCAGGTTTGAAGAATGGTAGGCGATCCGGCACATGATCTTTGTTGTGCGTGCCCTTATCTCGTGCTTGCCGTGCCCGCCCGCCTCATGTACGTCACGGGTTCAACCCCTGCAACCATACCACGGGAAGAGACGATGGCCCTGGAGAAAGAAAAGAAAAATAGTGATACTGCCATGGTGGTATGGGTAAGACATCGATTACATCTCTGCTGGATTTTCTTGTTTTCGCCACGTCCTCCCATAAGAGTATATAAGATGTTTTAGGTCAATACTTTAGTGACCAAAAACTTTTTATATTTATTTACAAAGATAGTACTTTCTTCATCTCATAATGTAGGACTTTTTTTAACACTGCAGTGTCAAAAAACGTTTTTCGACACTATACTTTATTACAACTTGTATAGAATTAAGGGCTACAACATTTGTTACCTCCTCTTGGTTTGCTTAGTAGTGCGCGCTCGGAGAGTGCACAGCACTTAGTTAACGGGAGACACGGAGATCCGGAGATACACTGCGCAGGTGCACACTAGTTACTTAGTTAAAGGCAGACAGGGAGATCCGGAGATGCACTGCACACCGCAGAATACAGCGACAGAGACGAGACAGCGGCGCAGCGCCGTACGTACTTACCGTCCGGAGCCATCACGAGTTATTTGGGTGCGTTATTGGCTCATCGCAGTCGGTCACGTCGCACCCACGCACGCATGTTTCGCGCGCGCGTTCGCGGTTTTAGACAGGTTTTCGTAATTAGCCAGGAACCAGCTAATCAACCCGTCATGTCGGCCAGCGGACGAGGAATCTAGCTAGTCCGTACTAGCTCTCATCGATGCCCCGGAAAAATGATGAGGCTTTCTAGGCCACCGCAGGTTCTGTTATTAAAGCACACATATCATATCACGGCAGGAAAACTGTTACACATCACAGCTTTTTTTTCTTTTGCAGATTTCTCTTGTGTGTAAATGTTTTTTTTTGAAAAAGATAAGACATATTAAAAGTTTATCAAAAGTACAAAATAAAAATTATATTAAGATTCTGAGACCACCGAACAACCCGTCAGAACGAGCCGCCGGCATGTCATTGTTGTCGCTTCCCTAACAGAGTCGGCTTGACCTTGTCGATTTTAGCCGGGAGTCTTCGTGCATGTGCCCACAAGGACCAATGCCCTGGAGTCGTAGTCATCCCCATTGAACCCTTGCAAAGATTTAAATCACTTAACACAAAATCTCGTCATGATTTTTTTCTTTTGCAAATTTCTCTTGTGTGCACATGTTATTTTTTTTCAAACCTATTAAAAGTTCATCAAGAGTTCAAAGTAAAAATTACACCGAGATTCTGATACCACTGAATGACCACTAGTACCGCCAGAACGAGCCGCCGACACGTTACTGTTGCCGCTCCCCTACTAGAGCCGGCTTGACCTTGTTGATGATAGCCAAGAAGTCTTTGTGCATGTGCCCCAAGGACCAGTGCCCTGGACTCGTAGTCGTCGCCTTTGAACTCTTGTATATATTTAAAGCGTCTGACACGAAATCTCGCCACATGTTGAGAAACCCTAACATCACTACACGAAGGAGACAACAGGCTAGAGCTCCGTCAAATACGTCCAGACAGACGAACTCGAGGTGTATTGAAATTTAAAAGACAAACTTGAAGAAGAAGCACCACCACCTGCCCAAGCAGCTGCGAGGACTAAAAAAATTCTAACCTAAAGTACTAACCGGAGTGAAGGCACCGGCATTTCCTCCCCGCCACCAGCCACCAAAGTGGCAGTTAGAGAGGAGACAAATCTACGGGCTCATCGGTTAAGCCTGGAGGGGAGAGTTTGGCCTGCTAGCGGCCTAGGGTTAGGAGAGAAAAAAGAGAGAAAGCCTCGAAGAAAACTCTGGCAGAATGTTGTTTTGTGTGTACAAGTTTAGGGTGTATTTCACGGGAAATACCTTACACGTACCATACGGTTGCGCATTTATACTGCATGTGCACGTAGGCACACGACAGTAGTGCATGGGCTGCACCCATCGCCATCGACCGTATTGGCTCCGCTTGGCCATACCTGCTGCATGTGCTGGTGCTGCGTCCATCCATCTATCGCCAAGACCGATCCTTCCAGCTCCAGGACCCATCGTCCTCCTCAAAATCTTCAGATGATACTGCATTCAATACGTCCATTATACATCACAGCTAGCCAGCTTATTCATTTCTTCACAGCTTGTTTAACATTGTCACCGACCATGCTGCGTCCATCTATATATAGAAGCCCCATCAATCTAAGCCTCCTCCATCTCAGTCCCAGTCCGGGGCCCTTCTCCCCTTCCTCAGCTTCTTCCTTCCCTTCTTCCCCTTCCTCCTGCATGGCATGTATGCGCAAGCCATGGCCATGGAACGATCGATTTGTCAATCGGATTCGCTTGGCCGTCGCCTAGCATCAGGCTCGGGGACTATGGTGCAGCCAAGGATGACTTGCCGATCGAATAATGATACATCATCGTCATATACATTGATCGATCGGCGAGTTGTTCTTGGCTACGTCTTAGCTCCTGCTCCTCATGTCAGGCCGGCCTGCGGTTGTGACGCTTCTCGCCATGGTGATTCCAAGCATGCTGGTAAGTTGGTGCTGGTGAACTCCCACTTATATTAATTTATGAAGAAAACCAAGGAGCTAGCTATATGTTGGTTAATTAATCATTCCATCTAGGAGTATGAATCGAGATCTCTCCCAAATCCCGATGCACATCTTCACTTGAGTTGAGGGTCATGGTTGGGCAGCAGCAGCCACCTCTGCGCTGCTCCGCTAGGAGTTCAACATATGAACAGATTGATACTATCTGTACGTGCTCTGGGCCTCTGGCCACTTGCCGACTTGCGGATGCAGAAACTGACAATTATAAATGCTGTGATATATAGCTCTACTGTAAGATTCCAGGGGCACTGAGGTACGCCTGGCTGGACCAAGCACGAACGGTACTAGCTAACCAAAAGTGGCCGCGAGACACTGAACTTAGTACGTAGTACTGTAGTTTATAATTTGGCACACTGCTACGGTTTGCGCCTTCTTATCACTTGCTCAGTTTCTTCAATACATAAATCATCTTATGATCTATGGAAGAGCTTAGGACGACAAAACCTCCACAAACATCCTATAATTTTTTCTCTAAAAAACCCTCCATAAACAAATGACTGGGCGCACTACTTAATATTGCTTTTGATAAACAACATTTTTATTAACTTAAAATATAGCATCAGGTGGATACAAAGCATGATGAGCAATACCTGGCCTCTGCATAGGTAAGACGCACATAGTCAAAACCAACAGTATGAGCAATACCCGTTTTTACAGTACCAATTTTTATTAACTTAAATCTGACTATTGAATTTCTGAGGATAGGATAGACATTCTCCGTTTAAAAATTAAGGGAGCCATGGTCTCGTCTGCCCAGCCCAACCGGACGGCTGTAGCGGATGAGCAGGCGTTCGTTGGAACTTGGAAGCCATGGGATGTCAAGAATTCCTGGACGTGGGTTCGGAGGTCCTACAGCTTCATTTGACCAGCCGTCCTCGCCTGGAGAGGCGGCGGTGGTCAAGCCGGGTTGAGGCTGCACGCGCTGTCGGAGGGGAGGTCGCCGGAGTAGACGGGTGCACAGCTCCGGCGGGACGCTGGCAGGGACCTCCGTGGAGACGAAGACGAGGCAAGAGCAGTCACGAGTGAGCGCTGACCGGTCCTGAAACACGTCAGGTCCCTGGGGAGTAGTGGCGTCCTGGGCGGCGAGTCCTCCTCGAGCTCCTCGTGGTGGGAGGAAGAGGAGGAGGGAGGGAAGGAGAGACTGGAGTACAACGTAACATAGATGGCGAGGAAGAGAGGCCTAGCTGTGCAGCCTCTTGATCAGCCATAGATGGCCTTCGCCTGGCGGACCGGCATAAACTTTTTCTACCCAAAATACCCTTATGACATGTATACTAAACGACGAGAGCCAAGCAGTGCAACCTATACTGCTCGTGATTTCATGGGCAAATTTGAGCAGTACCCATCGGTTGCCATCGTTAGATTTCACGATTGGACGGCCCATATTTGTCGCAGGG